ACATTAGCCACTCTCCAGTCTTCCAGCACTTCATCTGTGGCTATAGAAGATACAAATATCTGTGCTTGGGGCCCCGCAATAAATTCCCACAATGTCCTGGGAAACACTTGATCAGGTCCCAGAGATTTATCCAGCTTTGTTTGCTAAGACCACCAGCACCTCCTTTTCTGTAATGTGAACTGTTTTCAAGACATCACTATTTATTTCCTCAAGTTCCCAGCCTCCATGTCTTTCCCCACAGTTAAAAACTTACGTGAAATATTCATTTAGTATCTCTCCCATTTCCTGTGGTTCCACACATAGATAACCTCGTTGATCTTCGAGGGGTCCTATTCTTTCCCCAATTGCTCTTTTATACTTAATGTGCTTATCAAATCTCTTTGGATTATCCTTAACCTAATCTGCCAAGGTTATTTTATAGTCCCTTTTTGCCCTCCTGATTTCCTTCTTAAGAATGCCCCTGCACCACTTTTATTCTTTAAGAGATTCACTTGATCCCTGTTATCTATACTTAACACTTTATTCATCCATTGTTCCTTACTCTTACCAGCCTTACCCTTCACTCTAACAGGAACATAATGCTTCTGATCTCTTGTTATCCCATTTTTGAAAGCCTCCCTTAACCTGCAAACCAATCAACTTTTGAAAGTACCTGTCTCATACCTGTCAAAATTTGCCTACTCCAATTAAGAACTTTAACTTTTATACAAGGCCTATCTTTTCCGTAACTATTTTAAAACTAATAGAACTATGATCACTGGCCCCAAAGTGCTTCCCACAAACATTTCAGTCACTTGCCCTGCCTTATTTCCCAAGGGAAGGTCAAATTCTGCTCCTTCTGTAGTCGGTAGAATCAGAGATCCCTACAGTGTGGAAGCAGACCATTCAGCCCATCGAGTCCACACTGACCCTCTGAAGAGCATCCCACCCAGATCCACATCCCTACCAATCCCTGCATTTCTCATGGCTAATCCATATAGCCTGCACATCTCTGGACACATCGGTAATTTAGTATGGCCAATCCACCTAACCTGCACATCTTTGGACCATGGGAGGAAACCCACAAGGAGAATGTACAAACTCCACACATCTACATATGATAGAAAATTTTCTTGAACACATTTAACAAATTCCTCACCATCCAAGCCCTTAACACTATGGCAGTCCTAGTCCCTAAGACCTAAGTCCCTACAGTCCTATTATTCTTACATATATCTGAGATCTCTGTACATATTTGCTCCTCCGTTTCCCTCTGACTATTGGGTGTCCAATAGTACAAACCCATCAAGGTGCTCATCCCCTCCTTATTTCCGAGTTCCATCCATGTAACCTTACTGGATGATCCCTTAGAAATATCCTTTCTAAGTACAACAGTAATGTATTCCCTAATCAATAATGCACTCCCACTCCTCTCTTCCCTTTCTATTCTTTTTATAGGATCTAAGTGATGGAACATTGAGCTGCTAGTCCTGCCCCTCCCTCAGTCATGTTTCTGTAATGACTATGATGTCCCAGTTCCATGTTTCCATACATGCCCTGAGTTCACCTTACTTACCTGTAAGACTCTTTGCATTGAAATAAATCAGTTTAATTCTTCAGAGTTACCTTGTTCTCTGACTTGCTCTTACCATCCTCACCTGTCTCTCTATTATTACTACTACTTAGAATCTCTCCACACCACCATCCACCCCTGCCCACCCCACCCCCAAACCCCACTAGTTTAAAGGCTCACAAATAGCACTAGCAAATCTCGTCAGGGTAGTGTTACGCTTCCAATTCATCCCATCCCTTTTGAACAGGTCTGTTTTGCCCCAGTAGAGATCCCAATGATCCAAAAATCTGAATCACTGCCTCCTTACCAGCTCCTCAGCCATCGATTTATCTGCCGTATCTTCCTATTCCAAATATCTCTTGCCCATGGCACTGGGAGTAATTCAGAGATTACTACCTTTTTGAGGTCGTGCATTTTAATCTTCTATCTAACTGCCTGTACTCACTCTGCAAAGCCTCAATCTTTTCTTTAAATATGTCGTTCTTACCAATGTATGCAGCAGCTCTGGCTCTTCACTCTCCTATTTGACAATATGCTGCAACCTTTTGATACATCCTTCATCCTAGCACCAGGGAGGCAACATACCATCCTGAATTGTCACTCATGGCCACTGAATCTTCTGTGCCCCTGACAGGAAAGTCCCCTATAACAATTAATCTTTTGAACCTTGACAAACCCTGTTTCATATAAGATTCATTCTTGGTGCACAAGACCTGGCTGCCACTTCTATTTTTCTCTGAGAGACTGTTTTCTCACCCCAACCCAAACAGTAGTCAAAGTGGTATATCTATTTGAGAGAAGAATAGCCACAGGAGACTTCTGCACTAACTTCCTACCTCTCCTGACAGTCACCCATCTATCTAAATGAACCTGCTTGGTGACCACCTCTCTAAATCTATTAACCATCACACTCTGTGCCACCTGTATGCTCCTCAGTGACTCCAGCTGCTTCTCCAGCCGATTCAAGCGGTCTGATATGAGACGGATCCAAACACACCTCTTGCAGTCATAGTCTCCAGGGACAGTCAACAGCTCTCTAATCTCCCACATCCGTCAGGAGAATATGCCACTCTATTGACTGCCATAATTGCCCCTTAAACATTTGCTAACATAGGCTTGTCTAAAAAGACCCACACTTTTCTCAAATCCAGTGTTTGTAGACTGATTGCTGCTGACACAATATGCTGGAAGAACTTAAAGACTATATTCTATAAGGCCTAAAAGAAGAAGCTCTAAAAACACTGAGATAGCAAGAACTGCAGATGCTGGAATCGGAGATAACATAGAGAAGGGTCCCAACCCGAAACATTAGCTTCCCTGTTACTATGATGCTGCCTGGCTTGCATTCCTCCAGCTCTACACTTTGTTCGCTCTAAATACCACCTTTCTTAAAAAAAAAATCCTCCCTTCCCTTACCCACAGTTTCTAATTTTAAGCATACAAAAAAGAAAAAAAATTTAATTTCTTAAAATCCAACACTTCGCTTAAACTCCCAGCAACCGAAAACCATCATCTCCTTAGATCCTCTGTCTCCAACTCTGAGTAAAGTTCGGTTGATTCCCTCCAACTGCTGGATTCAGCCTTTCAAAAATAATGGATCCAGGAATCCTGCTCCCCATCATAATTTAAACAACCACGAACGAGCACTTGACAAACAAGTTGAAAAGGTCAATCTTCCGAGATCCACGAACACAAAAGGAGCCATCGACACCTCAACAGACACATGGACAGGCCTGTCCCACAAATAACTCAATCTCTCCTTCCTTACTTTTTTAAAAAAATTGAAATATAAAAGTTCCAAGAATAATTTTAAATGGAATTCTTTTTACTTCTGCTCTCGAAAAACAGAGAAAAATTACAAGAAAGACCTCAAATGCAGAAGCAGATGTAAAAGCTACACTATTCTCCTGCCATTTTTTTCAATATGTGGGAGTTCACTTTGTGGGTGATGGTCTGACTTGTACATCCACAGTCACAGTTTGAATTGTTCCTTTTGTTCTAGTTGTCAAGCAGGTAGCTACATCCTCCAAATTATCATAGAGTCAGGGTCATATAGTATAGAAAAAGCTCTTTGGCCCACCCATGTCTATGACGACCAACAGATCCCAAATTTCTACCATCCTCTAAATGAAAAACATTTTCCTCAGATCCTCTCTAAACCACTGACTCCTCACCTTAAATTTAAGCCCTCTGGCCTTAGACACGTCTGCCATGGAGAAAATATTCTCACTACTAGATAATCAATGACTAGAGACTGAATTAAACGGGAATAGTTCATTGAATGAGAGCATATATTTCACTGTGTAAAAACAGATCATTTCCTTCTTAACTCTTGTCTGGTTACCTAGACATAGGGGCTCTTGAGAAGCAAGTGCTTCTTGAACTCAAACAACAGAACAAAGCAGCAGAAACATGTGCAGCACCACAGTATTAGACAGTGCCAAGTATAGACTAGATCAGACGGACATGACAGAATCTCTTCTGTGAAGAGATTGCTGAACGAGTTTAGGTTTTTATAAAAGTCCAGCAGTGTTTGTGCCTATGTTCTCTGACATGCCCTCTCGTGAGCTTGACCAAACAGCAGATGTTGAGCTTTCAAGTGAAGTTAAGCTCCCGACCAGCAATACTTCACTATTTTTTTCTAAATTCCCAATGATTGCCTAGAGGAAAGATGCTGTTTTTGTTTAGAAAATAATGACTGAGGAAATTTTCCTCATTCTTCAAACTGAGCCATACTTACTTTTGTTGTGGAGATTAGTAGGTATGACCTGTTCAGAGGGATTATAGCAAAACAAAATTATTACATTTGATTTTTGTCACTGTTTTATTTATAACTGATGGCTAACCATCCACACACACAATTTCTGTGTGGTTGTTCCCATCTTTCTTCATTTGCTATGGTTGAAGACAAGCAGAATCAGCTGTGAAATGGCCATTCCTGACATTACTTCCACTGGTGTAACTGTGGGAGAGACCAATGTAAGATACTACTTGGGATAGTATCAAGTTAAACAGCAGATTAATCTCCTTGGTGTAGGTTGACTGAGCCATAAAACCCAAGGACGTGATATTTAGCTTCATGATTGACTAACTGTAGTCAATTCCACAGATATCTTTGGGCATAGAGAAAGGACATTTCTTGGTTTCCCTTGTGGCTTGGGTTCACTTCCTTGTATGTCCAGCTGATGTAGTTATGATTTATTCACCTTCCAGCAGCCTTCCTGCTCCTATGATGCTGCTTGGCCTGCTGTGTTCATCCAGCTCTACACCTTGTTATCTCTTATTCACCTGTTATTGTGTTATAGTGGATTCTTTCATATTGCCATTTTAGTCTGAGATTTGGAGTCTGAAATATAAGATAATTAAAGTTGAAGATATCTAACTGATGCAAGTACATGATTAAAGAACTTAATCAAGTCTAAATCTATTCTTGTCTTGATTTTATCAGTTGCAAGCCGACATAAAGATTCACATCCACAACCTGTCAGCATCCAGTGACGCCGTTCCATTGGATGATGTAAGTACTACATCAATAACACCACCCAAAGAAGTCACAGTTACTGAAAACCAAAACTTGATTTGTTTCGCCAGGACATTCTCTGACTGCTATTAAAAGAGAGCTCCTCAGTGGCTTGGTTCTCAAATGGATCAGCAAACTTAAAGATCCTGGATATGATCCTGGTCTATAGTGAACTGTAGTTCAAGCGTGAGCTACGGCTCAGTTGTAGCACTTCTTGCTTCTGCACATCAGAAGATTGTGAGTTCAAGTCCCACAGTTGAATGCAAAACTTAAAGTGAGACATTCCCACTGCAGTACTGCGGATGTGCTGCATGATTGGAATTACCATTTTTTTGGCTGAGATATTAAACTAATGGCCCTGTGTATCACCTCTGGAGGCAAAAGATTCTGCAGCACAATTTTAAAGAAGGGTACACCACCCCAGCGTCCTGGCCAATATCTATACATATATTTTGGCCTCGACCAATATCAGTACGTTAGGTTATCTGGTCACTATCTTATTACCATTTGTGGAAGCTGGTTACGTGCAAATTGACTATGGCATTTTCCACAATATGCCAGAGATTACAGAAGTACTGAGACTTTCTGAAGTCCAGAAAGGTACAATATACTTGGATGTTATAATAAACTTCCAGTCCCCATCTTTTAAAGAGAAGAAAAGGTCAGTTAAGGGTTCCGACTGATTTGGTGAAACCTGCTGGAAAGTACATTTGCATCAGGCAGTTATAGAATCGTGCGTGGCAAGACAGTTCAATGGTCTGGTGTTATTTCTTGTCAAGGCTCACCTAGAAAGGCTGGCTTGGATGAGTTATCAGAGGGTGCTGAGTGTGTGTAGAAAAGAGGAGAAATAATAGTGGGGAGGGGTTACAACATTCATGAGTAGAGTGAATACCTGAAATGTCAAGGACACCATATGGAATATTAACCATCATGTTTAACAGCTATTTAGACAGAAACATGAATGGGCAGGGAACAAAGGCAGACAGACCATGTGTACACAATTGGGATCAGTTTAGAGTGGCATCAAGGTTGGCACAGACATGGAGGGATGAAGGGCCTATTTCTGGCTATACTGTTTTATGTACATCAGCAGATTGCCCAAATGGTTAATTATCATCAGATTGATGAGTTCATTGGAATTGAATTTATAAGCTTGTGTAATTTGGAAGAGAGGGAAGGGAGGGAAATGAGAAAGGTGGAGAGGATAGAAGGAAGGACTGATGGGCAAATAAAGGAAACTAACAACAAACTACATTGATATGGTGCCTTTAGTGCAGCAAAACACCACCAAGCATTGAACAGTACTATTACAAAGCATAATTTGACACAAGCACATAGGTTGATAACTAGCTTGCTGGAGATTTTTGAAATGGTAACAGAGGGTTGGTGAGGGCAAGGTTGTAGATGTAGTTTACATGGACTTCCAGAAGGTATTCAATACAGATTTGAGAAAAGTTATACCTTATGGAATAAAAGGAGTAGCAACATGAATACAAAGCTGACTAGAGACAGAAGTCGGGTAATAGTTAATGGAACATTTGTTGCTTTTTTTCCAACATTGGGAGCCTTTCTTTTCCTGATATATATTAATGATCTAGATCTCTGTGTGCAGGGGACAATTTCATAATTTGTGACGACAAAACTTTGAAGAATTATAAACTGAGAAGGATGGTGTTAAACTTCAAAAAGATGTTGACAAGTTCATGGAGTGGGTGGATAGGAGGCTCAGTGCAAGAGGTGATACACTTTGGTGAAAAGAACATGGGAGACAGTATAAAATGAGGGGTACTATTCTAAAGGATGTGCAGGAGCAGGAAGAGGTGTTGATGTACATGTCATTAAAAATGATAGAACAGGTAGAGGGTGCATTTAAAAAGTTGACTATTATAGGGGCATAGGAGACCAGAGCAGGGAGGGTAAGGTGAATTTATTAAGGATATTATTTAGAGCTCAGCTGAAGTGTAAAGCCTAGGAGCCACACTATAGGAAGAATGAAGGCATTGGAGAGAGTGCAGATGGTTTACAAGAATGGTCCCAGGGATGAGAAACTTCAGTTATTTAGACTGGAGAAGTTCTCCTCAAAGGAGAAGGTCAAGGGGAGATTTGCTTGAAGTTTCCAAAATCATGAGGGGTCTGGGCAGAGTAGATAAAGAGAAACTGTTCCCACTTGTAAGAGGATTGAGCATAAGCGGGAACAGATTCAAAATATTTTGCAAAAGAATCAAATGGAAGGTGAGGAAAAAGCTTTTTCCCAGAATGAATATTAGAATCTGGAATATACTACCTGGAAATGTGGCGGAGTCAGGTTTAATTAAGGCATATAAAGCTAATGGCCAAGTGTTGGAAAATGGAATTGGAATAGTTAATGGACTGTTTTCAACTGGCATGGACAGAACGGGCCAAAGGGCCTTTTTTCTGTGCTACACACCTCTATGACTGTATATGAAGAAATGTTTCTTCCCATTTACGCTATCAATGCCTCTCATAATTTTATGCATCTCAATCAGATCCCCCTCAGGCTTCTCGGCTCCAAGGAAAACAACCCCTCTGCCCAAACTCTCCAGCCTAGGCAATATCCTAGTGAATCTCCCTGCACCCTCTTGTACAGTCCCAACCTTCCTATTGTGTGATGACCACAGTACTCCAGTTGTGGCCTAATTAGCATTATATAAAGCTATATCATAATCTCCCTGCTTTTGCATTCAGTGCCTCAACTAATGAAGTATCACATCAGCTCTGATGAAGAGTCATCTAGCTTGCTTTCTCTCCATGGATACTGTCTGACCTGCTGTGATCTCCAGCATTTGTTGCTGTCAGAAGTATCCCGTATACCACCTAAACCACATTATCTACCTGTCTTGTTGCATTCGAGGATCTGTGGACACGCACACTGAAGTCTCTCTGATTCTCTGTACTTCCTAGGGTCCTACTGTTCATCATGTACTCCCTTGCATTGTCAGTCCTCCCAAAAATACATCACCTTGCACTTTTTAGGATTATTGTTCTGCCCATCTGTCCAACTTGTCTATATCTTCTGTCTAAAGCTTTGCTCTTCACTGTTTACCACACTGCCAATTTTTGTTTTCTTTGTGAACTTACTGATCATACCTGTTACAGTCATGTCTAAATTATTAATATTCACTACAAACAGCAAGGGACCCAGCACTGAACCCAGAACACAGGCTTTCAGCCATAATAGCACCCTCTAACTATCCACCTCTGCTTCCTGCAAACTAAGCCAATTTTGGATCCAATTTGCCAAATTGTCCTGGATCCAAGGGCTTTTCCTTCTTGACCAGTCTGCCACGTGAGACCACGTCAAAAGTCTTACTGAAGTCCATGACGAGTACATCAACTGCACTACTTGAATCTATACAACTAGCTGCTTTGAAAATTCAACTTTTTTTAAGACAGATATGCTGACTATCCTCGATTTAATGCTTCCCTCTCCAAGTGGAGATTAATGCTGTCCTTCAATGTTTTCCAATAGTTTCCATACTTCTGATGTTAGACTCATGGCCTGTAGTTTTCAAGTTTTTTCCTAGTACACTTATTGAATAATGGTATCACATTATATGCCCAGAGAGGATTCAACAAATTGTCAGAGCACCTGTAATCTCCTCTCTTGCCTCCCACAGCAGCTTTGAATACATTTCATGTGGGTCAGGGGATTTATCCACTTTCAAGTCTGGTAAAATTGCTAATGCCTCCTCCCTCTTAAAGCTAATTTGTTTAAATGTATCACAGTCCCCCCTCCCTGATTATAATCCTATATTGTCCTTCGCTATAACAATTATAGATGCAAAGTACACATTTAAAACCTCACCTACATCTTGGGGCACCACACACATTGCTACTTTGGTCTCTAATGGTCCTAATGCTCTTGCCCCGAATATTTTTATAAAATGCCTTTTTGAATTTTCCTTTTCTTTATCCACCAGTGTTTTCGCATTCTCCCGTCACTCTTCTAGTTTTTTTTTAAAATAACATCCTGGAGTTTCTATTCCTCTTGGACTTCAGCTGTTTGGACCCTTGGAGTCTGCTAAAAGCTTATCTTTTATTCCTTATCCAAACATATACAGCATTTGACACACAGGAGTCTGTGGGCTTGTTAGTCCCACCCTTCATCTTTATGGGAACATGTTGGCCCTCTGCATAATTCCTGACCATGACCCGTGGTTGATACTCGGTGAGTCAGCATAGATATGAGAAAACAGCGATGGGTGGATTTCATGGGTTACCGTGAGTTAACGCCAAGTTGGCATGTAGACTATAATGGGTCAAGGTTGTACGTACAGGGGGATGGCTTGGAAGTGACAGTATGAGGGATTATGGAGGGGTGTACTTTGGATTTGGAAGATATGGGAGTTATGATGAGTCGGAATAGGGTATGAAGGATCATAGATTGGCATGGGGAATATGTGGGAGGTGAGGGACCAAAAACGTTGGAGGGATGCGGTTTTGTTTTATTCTTCCTTTTAAAAAGTGAACACAGTTCTGGAGCCCTGAGGTAGGTCTTCTGACCAGCTTGTCTCTTAATCCAGCATTCTCCGTAATAATTCTGAGGTCACCCACCCCTAGCCTACACTTTCAGGACTGAAAATCTGGTATCCAGGAGCAGCCATTTTTAAAAGTTGGGTTCGCAGAGCTGGGGTTTCTCCCAACTCTGTGCACACGACTCCTGGACAAAAATCCAAGCTGCTCTCAATGTTGCCGAGTGCAGCTGAGAGTTACAGCAGTCTGCGCTGTCCGACCCCCGGACAGATGAGAAAAGAATAAAAAACATGCCAGGCAATGTTTAAGGGTAATTCTGGCTTTAAAATGTGTACCTTTGTCATCCTAGATGCGCTATACTAACTTACACAAATTTCTTCATACTACTTTAGATGATTGTTCCTTTAATGAGCTTCCTGGAAACTGAGTTTGCATACATGGACACCAACCTAGTGCAAGAAAATTTTCAAAGGTCAGTAATTCAGTAAACTATATTGGAAATACACAACGGTATTTGGAAGGAGAAAAGACTTTTTCAATTTGGTGTGTAACTTGAGTGGAAATACAAAATGAAAGATCATAACAAAAAATAGAAACTGCCGGAGAAACTCAGCATATCTGGCAGCATCTGTGGAGAGAAAGCAGAGTTGACATTGAGTCCGGTGACCCTTCTTCAAGAGTTCATAGTAGCTAGGAAATGGTGGTATGTATGCACGTGATGGAGGATTAGGGGTAAAAGAATGAATGGTAAGTTGGAGACAGCCCAGAGAAAGAGAAATGTACAGACAGAGAGAGGGAGAAAGAAAGTTAGGCAGACAAAGGGATGGTGGATAGTAAGCCAGGGAGGAAGAAAAGCTGATAAGGGGACAATGAGTGGGCGATAATGGGTGAGTTTTGCTGAAAGCAGCCCATGTCATGATAGGGCCTGGGGTTTGGGAGTGGGTAAAGGACATGAAAGGTGGTGTTCCGATTTTAAGGATGCAGTGTCACCATGCAGAGAGAAATATCAATTAGTCTTTAGTTCTGGTTAAAAAACACATTCCAAGTGTGATGTGCTGTGAATACAAAACTTGTGGAAAGCTGAGAGCTAGCATCAAAACAGCATCCAGTTGACTGTCTCATTCTGTACTTTGGGAAACCAGAGTCTATTCTGTTCTTAGATAACAAGGTGTAGAGCTGGATGAACACAGCAGGCCAAGCAGCATCAGAGGAGCAGGAAAGCTGACGTTTTGGGTCTGGACCCTTCTTCAGATTTCATCCAGCTCTACACCTTGTTATCTCAGATTCTCCAGCATCGGCAGTTCCTACTATCTCTTTATTCTGTTCTTGCTGTAATTGTGGAGGAGGGTTATGTTAGAGATAGATACAATTCTTGAAGCCAAAAGAATCAAAGGACATATGGCAAAAGCAGGAACAGGAGGCTGAGTTGGATGATCTGTCATGACTATGTTCATTTTGGTTTTAATGGAGTATATCAATAGGAAAGGTTTAGAGGGATATGGGCCAAATGCTAGCAAATAGGACTTTGTCAGATTGGGATGTCTGGTCAGCGCAGACTAGGTGGACCGAAGGGTCTGTTTTTGTGCTGTATGACTCTTTGAATGTACGGGTATTAATTTGGTGACAGCTTTTTATCTGGCCCAAATTCAACTAATTTAGTTAATATTGGATTCATAGCTAGTCCAGCTGGTAGTGTTTGGTGCCAAGTTAGCCTAGTTTTCAAAATCCTCCTCAAAATCTCTCTGTAATCTCCTCTATCCTACAACCCCCGAAGATATCAGGACTCTTTCTTCCATTCTGGCCTCTGATTATCCCCGATTGGCCTTGTTCAAACATGGGCAGCCAAACTTTCTGCCAGGTTCAGTGCTCTGGAATTTCCTTCCTAAAACTCCTAGCCTTTCTGCTACTCTCCTCCTTTAAGATGCTCCTTTTAAAAATCTCCCTTTTTGATGAAGCTTTCAGTTATCTCTCCCTGTATCTTTTCATTTGACTTTCTGTCAAATTTGGCTTGTCACTGTGAATTGACGTGCTACATTTTACTGCACCAAAGATCTTATGTTAGAGATAGATACAGTTCTTGAAGCCGAAAGAATCAAAGGACATATGGCAAAAGCAGGAACAGGGGGCTGAGTTGGATGATCTGTCATGACTATGTTGAATGGTGGAGGAGTAGAATCAAATGGCCTACTCTTCCTATTTTCTATGTTTTTATATTAATGCTCAATGTTGTTGCTGGCAGTGATATGATGTTGTCTAATTTCATCCTCTTTTCCTTGTCTTTTCTTATTGATGGGGCTTTAATTTGTGAGAGTTGGGGAGAGTAAAGTGGATCCGAACCACTTGGTGTTATCCTCTACCTCGGCCGAGGCTTTGCTGCATGCTGCAGGTTAGGGATAACTTCTTCCTCAACAGAAATATTAATCTGAATGCTGAACAAGAGTTTGATCTTTCCCTCTCGATGTTAATATAACTTAGTTCTCTTCTTTGATCTGCTCCAACATGATTCCTTAACCCTCATTTAGAGGAAGACCTCCTACCTACACCAGTGTAAATTATGTTCCTTCAGCCATCACCCACGTGGCCTTTATGGATGAGACTGGTCAGACCTATTGACATTGGATCCTTATAGAAGCAAGAGGCCATTCAGCAACTTCAGCCTGTTGTGCCATTCATTTAAATCACGGACAATGTGATTCCATCACCCTTAATATACCTGAAAAATTAATGTTGTTTTGAAATGTTCTGTTAATCTAGGCTGGCCAGCTTTCTTAGGGAGAGTGTTCCAAATTTCCAGCATTTCAGATTCTATTATCCAATATTTCAGATCCTAGATTTGAAAGGCATATACGGTGAAATATTAGCCATTCTCTGACTTTCTAACTGTTCTCACAGCCTTCTAGGTTACCTTTGGACGGATATAATCGACATCATCTACTCAACTTCACGTCAAGGTGGTGTTTCTCGGAGGTTTTATTTGAAGCTAAACCATGCTTTGGAGGTGAGATTACTTAGAAACGTGAAGCCTAGCGCCCAAAGCTGCAGATTCCTTCCCAATATAGAGCAGCTGTTGTCATATTTTATACTGACTTAATTGGTGGCTCTGCCCCCCACCATGAGTTAAAGGACTGAGGAGGTAATTTTACAAGATCATGCTCGTGATGGGGAGGCCTGTTCTTTCGGAATAGACGCAGAAATCTGCCCATTATGCTGATTTAAAAACTCGCTGAGAGAGTGGTGCTGGAATTTCAAGCATAGAAAGTAAGAGCAGGAGTAGGCCATTTGGCCATTCAAGTTGCTACTCCATTTAGCATGGTCATTGCTGATCCTCTATTTCAATGCTGTGCTCCTGCTTTCTTCCCTTTAAAATCCACCAGCTACTGTGGTGGGATCTGAGCCCATATCCTGGATCTCTGGAGTATTAGTCCAGTGTTTTTACCACTACACCAGCTCCACTGTCCTAAAACCAAAGCCTGATGCTGCTCAGCTATACCCTATTATCAAACGACAAGAGACATTGTTGTAAAGACAACAATCTCTACCTCAAAGATAGTAGGAACTGCAGATGCTGGAGAATCTGAGATAACAAGGTGTAGAGCTGGATGAACACAGCAGGCCGAGCAGGAAGGCTGACGTTTCGGGCCTAGACCCTTCATCTACCTCAATGTCAGAAAAACAAAAGAGCTAGTCATCAACTTTGGGAAGGAGTGGAGGACACACCCCTATCTGCATCAATGGTGGTGAGATGGAAGTGGTCGAAAGCTTAAGTTCCTAGGAGTAAATATCACCAACAATCTGTCCTGCTCCATCCACATTGACGCTACAGTCAAGAAACCAACACCTCTACTTCCTCATGAGGCTAAAGAAATTCAGCAAGTCTACAAGGACCCTTACCAATTTTGATTGATGCACCATGAAAGCTTTCTATCTGGATGCACAGCTTGATACAGCAACTGCTCTGCCCAAGACTGGAAGAAATTGAGTTGTGAGCACTGTCCAGTCCAGCTCAAAAAACCAGCCTTCCATCTATTGACTCCGTCTATACTTCCCATTGCCTCGGGAAAGCAACATAATCAAAGACCCCTCCCATCTTGGTCATAATCTCTACCACCCTCTTCCATAAGGCAGAATATACAAAAGTTTGAAAACACATCCAACAGATTTAAGAACAGCCTCTTCCCTACTATTATCAGACTTACAAACAGACCTCTCGTATATTAGAATGGAATTTTTCTTTGCACCTTCTCTGTAGCTCTAACACTATATTCTGCATTCTATTCTAGTACTTATGTAAGGTATGATTTGTCTGGTTAGCACACAAAACAATACTTTTCAATAATAAATCAAATTAAATCAAATCATCTGCTCCTGGTTGGCAATGCCAAGCTGGGAATGACAGTTTGTAGAATTATTCCTTATTGTTTTAAAAGGTTCCTCTTCATTCCCTCCAGAGATCTGCAGTTTCCACTATGGTGGAGAGACCAAATATAGACTGTATGACAACTTTTCCAAACACTTACACTCAGTCAGCAAGCACGACCCTGACCACATGGTCACCTCCCATTTTTAGTACAGCATCCTGTTCACATGCTTACGTTACTGTCCAGGGCCTCCTGCAGTGCTCCAGTGAAGCCCAGTGCAAACTGGAGGAACAGCACCTCATTTCTGTTTCAGCACTTTATAACCTTCTGGGTTCAACATTGAGTTCAACAATTTCAGACCATGAAGTCTGTCCTTCATTTTGTTTCTCCCAACTTTGCCCCAATGTCTGGCTTTCTTGTTTTTTCTTACAGCAGAGCTGACCTATATTCTAACATTACTCTGGACCTAAATCTGTTCCCAGAAAAGTTTTCCATGCCTTTTGCACTGTGACACCTGTATCTCTAATCCTACTCAACCTTCCATTCTGTTTCACTTGCTCCTCCCCACCTTTCTCTACAGCATTACTTACTTTTCCACCTCTCACTTCAGTTCTGAAGGGCCATTAGTCACAAAATTTTTACTTTGTGCCTCTCTCTAAGATGCAGCCAGAAATGTGGAATTTCCCCAGCATTTTGTTGTATTTGTCTCCATTCTTACCTGGTTCTAAAGATGACGGGCAGCATGGTGGCTCAGTGGTTAGCACTGCTGCCTCACAGTGCCAGGAACCCGGGTTCGATTCTACCCTTGGGCGACTGTCTGTGTGGAGTTTGCACATTCTCCGCATATCTGTTTGGCTTTCCTCCAGGTGCTCTGGCTTCCTCCCATAGTCCAATGATGTGCAGTGGATTGGCCATGCTAAATTGCCTGTAGTGTTCAGGAGTATGTAACTTTGGTGAGTTACAGGGGGATGGGTCTGGGTGGGATGCTCTGAGGGTCAGTGTGGGCCGAAGGGCCTGTTTCCACACTGTAGGGATTCTATGACCAATGATGATGACCAACCTATTGTTATTCTTTTGGCTGATAAAATTCTTCCAATTCCCCTCTTCGCCCAGATACTTTGCTGTTTTAAGTATTCACCCCTGTCCTCGTGAATAATTGACCTGGTTCAGCTTTTAAAATTCTCCTTATTATTGTCAAGTCTATTGGTGTATCCTTCCAACAGAAAGGCAAAGCTGGTGATTTTTGCTTATTGTCTTTCCTCAGTGCATGATGATCCAGCTCAAATATTTCAATGATCAGTCTAAAACAATCCAATTCTAGAAAACATGCATGACACGTCAATGCCATTAGCTATCAATTTATCAGATAATAAAAAGTATAATGTAGTTTGCCCTACTTGATAATTTTTATAGGATTTACTCAATGCCTAATCTTTGCCGTTTAGCGTCAGTCCAGATGAACAGGCCATCTACGTGAGCAGGCACAAATTTCCTTAATGTATCTGAAGGCATTCTAATAGGCTGGTATTCTAAGAATATCATAGAATGGGTTACAGCACAGGAGGCCATTCAGCCCATCATGCCCATTCAGAACCTCTGCAAGACCATTCAGCTTTGCCAACTCACCTGTCCTTTCTACCTAGCCTTACAGTTTTCTTTTCTTTGCAGGTACTTGTTCAATGCTGTTTTAAAAGTCACAATCAAACTTGCTTGCTCCACACTTTCAGGCATTTATTGGATTTTCTTCATGTCACTATTTATTCTTTTGCCATTCATCTCTAATTCTCAATTCATCTCCCACTGGCAAGTGTTTCCCTAACTACAGTTAACGCCATGATCAAATCTCTTCTCAGCCTTCCCTTCACTAAGGAGAATAATCCCAGTTTCTTCAATCTGGTCACATAACTGAAATCCCTCATCACTACAGCCAGAACCATTCTGGTCAACTCTTTCCACAGTCTGTCCATTGCCTTTGCATCCTTCCTAAAGTGCAATGTCCAGAACTGCAGGTACTCTGATTGAAGTCAAACCATAAAGGTTTATCATAACTTCACTTTTGTATACAATGTCTCTTTATAAAGAGGAATATCTGACATGCCCTTTTAGCTGCTTTCTTACCTGCCTGCCACCTTTAAAGATCCATTTACAATCACACCTATTTCTCAGTTCCCTACTTAGAACTGCACCCAAATTTTATATTGTTCCTCTCATTCTTCCTACCAGAATAGTCACTTCCCCACATCATATTTCATTTTCCACTTATCTGCCCATTCCAATAAACTGTCTATGCTGACTTGCAGGCTATCACTATCTTCTACAATACTTCTGTGTTTGGGTCACCTGTAATTTTTGAAATTATGGATATTTTTCAATCAATCAATTTGTTCAGAGACGTATTATACACCTCTGCAACAGGTGGGACTTGAACCCAGAACTACAGGCACAAAGCTCGGACGCTACAACTGTGCCACAACAGCCTTTAATTTTGACACTGTACCCTATAACCTCAAGTATAAGTCATTAAAACATATTAAGAAAAGCATTGGTTTCTATCCTGAGCCCTGGGGAACCTTAATGTATACCTGCCTATAATCTGAAAAATAAGCATTCTCCATGACTCTGTTTTCTGTCACTGAGTTAAATTTGTAACCATCCTCTAGCTATCTGTTTTATTCCTTGGGCTTTAACTTGGCTGACAAACCCATCATGTGCCATTTAATCATGTGTCTTCTAAACGTCCATGAGCACCACATCGGCCATCTCTGTTATCTCATTAAGAAGCTCAATCAAGTTAATTAAACACTTTGTCCTTGATAAATCTATGCTGGCTCTCCTTCATTACCAAACTTTCAGTGTGACTTTATATCTTCCAAAGCGTGAAGACTATTACTCAGAGGTTAAGAGATTGCAAGAACTGCAGATGCTGGAGTCAGAGTCAATACTGTGTGGAGCTGGAGGAACACAGTAGTTCAGGCAGCATTAGAGGAGCAGGAAAGTCAATGTTTTGGGTTTACACCCTTCATCAGGACTGAAGGGTGTAAACCCGAAACTTCAACTTTCCTGCTCCTCTGATGCTGCCTGACTTAGTGTTCCTCCAGCTCCACAATGGATTACTCGGAGGTTAACTGGACTTTGGAAATAAGAGTGGGGGTACATTTGACTACTCTGATGTCTCCCAAGGTTGGAGACCCTTACTTTGTTATTGACCCTGTCTGAGTTTCTTTCCTTTCCTTCCTTTCAGAACCTGCTGTACTGTTTCCATGCTGAGGGAAATGGTTTGCCACTTAATGAACTACAGACCACCAGTTTCAAGGTGAGCTCTCAGGATTGCAAAGCTTGTTATTGAAACATAGATATAATGCACTTTTTGGCAAAGCTTTACATCTTGCAGTCATCAGGACAATTCACAAAAATACCAAGCTTGTTCTTGCACATGGGTTCAATTTGCCATCTTCATCCCATATTTCCCAAGATATACTTGCTGAGTTTGAACTCCTCTACTTGCAGCAATCCCATCATGAACCAGCATCTGCTGAAGATAGGAGATGTACTTAGCTGATCTAGCACATACATATTGCGGGCCTCTGAATCAATTATCCTATTTTCACATCAGTGTGAATATCTGGCAGCATCATGACGCCTCAATGCCAACTTGGACTCACTTCAATCAAGCAACCATAGGGACTGGCAAGCGTAGCAAAGGATGAAAGTCATTCTTAATGATGGGTCCAAATGAGTACCCATTAGACATACTGGTCAGCAAGACCAGACAGCCTTCCTCAAAAGTAAGATAAACGAGCATTTGCTGAACTTGCATAAGAGCAATGAACTGTTGGATGATAATTATGATTTGATTTTTATTTGCAGCTCACTGCGTTCGTGTATGTAGGAGCTGCCCAAGACCCAAAAGTAATGTCTGTTAATACCCTAGTTTATCTATGTCTGGTCTGGCACAACATGACCTGGCAAAATAATTGGTTGCTACGACCTGTTTTCAGCAGACTTTCCACTTACCTGGTGAAGGATTCCTACAGGAGTTGCATAGCAATAGTGATGCAGCGTCCATGTACTCATTTGGCATTGCCAGCATATTCACCAATGTACCACTCAGAAGCCATAGACATCTGTGCTGCAGCACATGTCATGGTGATCTAGACGCACCACCATTGTGTGCATCAATATTCACCACTAGTTCTCCATCAGCCTTACCAAGACCTGCTAGATTGACCTCAGGATAAACACCCCAATTTACCTTCTCATCTAACTCCATTGTGATATTTTGCAGGATTGCAGTCCCATCAATGACCTCGGCTCCTGCTGGGGCTGCAGGGACTAGCGAACTCACAGCCATCTGATTGGTCAATAGCCTCTTGAGGGTAGGACTTTGTCCCAAATGGAGATGTAGGCTAGAACCAATGAATCACCCAAGGACTGTAAAATTGGTTTGGAGCTTCCTGGTCACTTGGAGCTGGGCTTGCACAGAACATTTTAGCCAGGGCTGAGCCACCGCATATGTATAAAATTTAGCCTCATAAGCCCCCTATCAGTGCTCACTCTATTCCTATATTCCCAGAGGAGAGCTGCACCCAAAGGGTTGTTCAGGATAATCAATTAGTCCTAAATCTCCAACTAGCACCAGGAGCTTGAGATTGTTAATTGATTAATGAATGTGGTGCTTCTCTGGCCAGTATACATCTCAAATCCAATTTCCTGCATGTTCCCAAAACCTATAATTTCTTCAGTGTCAAAAAGTCTATCAGTCTTAGTTTTGAATGATTAAGCATTCACAGTTCTTCGGATAGAGAATGAATATTCCTGTATTTGGGCAGATAATGTCTCCCTTTTCTTGGACAGTGGGGTGTGGGGAAAGGAGAAGTAACTACTGAACACTTTGGAAACCAATTTCCTTTTGGTCTGTTCCAAAGTATCATCTACTTCCTAGCTGAATTTGAAAAATGTTCTGAAGAAGGGTCACTGGACCCAAAATGTTAACTCTGCTTTCTTTCCACAAATGCTGCCAGACCTGCTGAGTTTCTCCAGTATTTCTGTGGCCTTAAAAGTTAATGTTGCACATTCTGCTACACCTGCTGAGTATTTAACCATCTGTTTCCTGTTTCATGTTCAATTTTAATATTAATTTAAAATTTTCATTATTTGCAATTCTTTGCACGTCTCATTTGACTTGTTTGTCTTGCTCGGCATATCAATGTAGTTCCTTTCATGTGTTGTTACAATTTACTGTAAATTTACTATAATTTATTTCAGGATCTGAAGGCTCACCTGTCTCTGAATGCAGCAAGCACTCATGAGCTAATCCAGAAGTTTTATACAAAGAAAATCCAACAACAGGTCTGCAATGTGGACTGTCATCTAATGCAATACTATTTGAGGTGTGAAGGTCTAACTGATGGAGCACAGGTATCTCTAGGGAAGCCAAGACAGGTTTAAAGGACGTTAAAGATCAGTAATCAAACACAATGAGATGAGTTTTTGGGACTGGCAAACAGGAGCAGAACAACTTCCAGATTGTGAATTTGCCCTCATGAGGAGCGATTATTGATGGGATTTTCATGGAAGTACTCCCTTAATTGACATGAAAAAAAAAATCCCTGTCCAATTATAGGTGCTAAAGGAAAATCATCAGCCTTGAAAGGAGCAGCCGGATAACTTAGAGATCCCCTCTCATTGGCCTTTTTAGCATGATTTTAAAAGCAGCAGATGTATCCAGGTCCATGCTGTTCAGATGGGCAGGGTATGGAGGTGATGCAGGGAATTGGGAATGGAGGATTGGGATCAAGGACAGGATAGTTGGGGAATTGAGCCAGGGATGTTGGGGGCTGGTGGGTGAGCTGGCAATCCCTCAACAATGTGTCTATTAGCTTTACCCACAACTGCTCTTCACTGGGTGCCCACCTCTAGGTGGTTAAACTGCTCCATGTTGTCAGGAAGCTGAAAGATGACAGGAATATCATATTCTAATGCCTTCAGTGTCATAAACAAGGCTGCTACTGAGCCTGATTGGATGGCTCCTTTGAGAGTGCAGGGAGTCATGCAGGGTTCAAAAACTGTCCTCAGCAAAACTGGCCAGCCCCTGGAATGAGATTGGGAATCCGGTATATGTTGTTGGTCCTGTCGATCTCAGTGAGGCCTGACCATTCAGCACAATATTACTGATGTACAGCAGGGACTACGCAAGCTCTGAGAGTAGGTTCAGTTGATGCACTCTGATTTTGTGCATTTATACATCATTACATTGACTGTCATTAATCACAATCAAGCAATGATTTGCATTGATATTGCAACATTAATGTTTGAAAATACTTCAGAGACAGGACCAGAAGGAAAATTGATGTTAATCAAAAGCAGACAAAAGGAAAGGGATAATACAGTGTGGAGCTGGAGGAGCACAGTGGGCCAAGCAGCATCAGACGAGCAGGAAAGTTGATATTTTGGGTCGGGACGTCAACTTTCCTGCTTCCCTGATGCTGCCTGGCCTGCTGTGCTCCTCCAGCTCCACACTGAGTTATCTCTGACTCCAGCATCAGCCGTTCTTACTATCTCAAAAGGAAAGGGAACCACAGATTTGGACATGGAAATGGTTTATAATGAGGACCTTAAAAGATTAGGTGGGAGATGTTGAGGTGGAGAGGTTTAGGGTGGGAATTCCAGAACAAGGAGTCAAGTAGATTCAAAGTGTGGCTGCCAATGGCAAATGGGTAGGTGCACCAGAGGAACGAAGGTTTCAGGGCATGCTGTCAAGCTGGAAAAGACTATATAGAGGTGAGGTGCTAGTTCATGGAGGAATCAAATACAAGGATGTAGAAATTAATCAAATACCCCTTCAATACTGAGGAAGTTCAGTTATGAGGAAGGGTCACCGGACCCGAAACGTTAACTCTGTTTGTTCCTTCATAGATGCTGCCAGACCTGCTGAGCTTTTCCAACAACATTGTTTTTGTTTCACAAGGGTCGGTATTGAGGCCCCTGCTGTTTGTGGTTTATATAAATGATTTGGACTTGAATGTTGGGGGAGGTTGATTAGTAAGTTGGCAGATGATACAAAAATTGATGGGGTGGTAAAGTGTGAGGAAAATAGCCTTAGATTACAGGAAGATATAGATGGGCTGGTCAGATGGGCTGATCAGTGGCAAATGGAATTCAATCTGGATAAATGTGAGGTGATGCATTTGGGCAGGACAAACAAGGAAAGGGAATACATGATGAATGGTAGGACCCTGGGAAGTATCAAGGATCAGACGGACCTCTGATGCTGCCTGGCCTGCTATGTTCATCCAGCTCCACACCTTGTTATCTCAGATTCCAGCATCGGCAATTCCTACTGTCTCTCAGAGGGACCTTGTTGTGCATGAGTTTAAGAGCAGGGAGGTTATGTTGAAACTGTATAAAATGTTAGTTAGGCTACAACTAGAAAATTGTGTGCCATTCTGGAATCCACACTTTAGGTGTGATACGATTAGCACTCGGGGAGGCGGGGAAGGTGGGGGGCGGGGTGATGCAGAGGAGACTTACCAAGATGTTTCCTGGACTGGAGAGTTTTTTATGAAGATAGATTGGACAGACTAGGTTGTTTTTCATAAGCATAGAGGAGATTGAGAGGGGTTGTGATTGAGATCTATAAAATTAAGGAGCAAGAAGAGGGTACACTGGAAGAAACATTTCCTCTTGATGGAGGATCATTGAACAGGTGGCAAAGATTTAAAGTAAGGAGCAGGAGGTTGAGAGGAAATTTGAGGAAAAGGTTTCCACCCAGAGGGAGGTTGGAATCTGGAAATCACTCCCTGTAAAGGTTGTACTGGCAGAAATCCTCATAAAATTTAAGAAGTATTTAGGTGGGTCACGTTGTGGACAGTGCAGAGGTTCTAGGTTACAAAGGGACATTGATAGGATGCAGAGCTGAGCTGAGAAGTGGCAGATGGAGTTTAACCCTGAAAAGTGTGAGGTGATTCATTTTGGAAGGACAAACTTGAAAGCAGAATACAGGGTTAACAGAAAGATTCTTGGCAGTGTGGAGGAGCAGAGGGATCTGGGGGTTCATGTCCACAGTTCCCTGAAAGCTGCCACCCAGGTGGATAGAGTTGTTAAGAAGGCGTATGGTGTGTTTGCTTTCATTAATAGAGGGATTGAGTTCAAGAGCCGTAAAGTTATCTCCAGCTATACAAAAGCCTGGTTTGGCCACATCTGGAGTATTGTGTCCAGTTCTGGTCGCCTCATTACAGGAAAGATGTGGAAGCGTTGAAAAAGGTGCAGAGGAGATTTACCAGGATGTTTGCTCGGTTCGCAACAAACCCGATGTGGCCTCCTCTACGTTGGGGAAACCAAACGGAGGCTTGGGGACCGCTTTGTGGAACACCTACGCTCGGTTCGCAACAAACAACTGCACCTCCCAGTCGCGAACCATTTCAACTCCCCCTCCCACTCCTTAAGACGACATGTCCATCCTGAGCCTCCTGCAGTGCCACAACGATGCCACCAAAAGGTTGCAGGAACAGCAACTCATATTTCGCTTGGTAACCCTGCAGCCCAATGGTATCAATGTGGACTTCACAAGCTTCAAAATCTCCCCTCCCCCAACCGCATCCCAAAACCAGCCCAGCTTGTCCCTGCCTCCCTAACCTGTCCTTCCTCCCACCTATCCCCTCCTCTCACCTCAAGCCCCACCCCCCTTTCCTACCTAATAGCCTCATCCCACCCCCTTGACCTGTCTGTCCTCCCCTGGACTGACCTATCCCCCCCTAACTCCCCACCTACACTCACCTTTACTGGCTCTACCCCCGCCTCTTTGACCTGTCTGTCTCCTCTCCACCAATCTTCTCCTTTATCCATCTTCTATCCACCTACCCCTCTCTCCCTATTTATTTCAGAATCCTCTTCCCCTCCTCCATTTCTGAAGCAGGGTCTAGACCCGAAACGTCAGCTTTCCTGCTCCTCTGATGCTGCTTAGCCTGCTGCGTTCATCCAGCTCTACATCTTGTTGTCTTTTTTACCAGGATGTTGCCTGGAATGGAGGAAGGTCTTAGGAGGAAAGGTTGAGAGAGCTAGGGCTTTTCTCTTTAGAACAATGAAGGGTGAGAGGTGACTTGATAGAGGTGTACAAAATGATCAGAGGTATAGATAGAGTAGACAGCCAGAGACTTTTTCCTAGGGTGGAGGTAGCTATTATGAGGGGGCATAGTTTTAAAGTGAGTGGAGGTAGATATAGGGGAGACGTCAGAGGTAGGTTCTTTACTCAGAGAGTGGTCGGGGCATGGAATGCATTGCCGGAGAGGGTAGTGAAGTCGGCCTCATTAGGGGCATTTAAGCGGCTATTAGATAGGCATATGGATGATAGTATAAGGTAGGGGTGGAGGTTAGATAGACCTTAGGATTAGGGTAAAAGTTTGGCCCAACATCATGGGCTGAAGGGCCTGTCCTGTGCTGTACTGTTCTATGTTCTATGTGTACTTGCAATGCCAAGGCTATGGGCCAAGTGCTGTAAAAGATTAGTTAATTAATCTTAGTTAGGTAGTTATTTTTGGTGCACATCCAATGGGCCTAAGGGCTCTTTTCTGTCCTGTGAATCTTTAAGACTTTGAAATTGAACAAATTCAAAGGATAGCAGATGTTTGGGGCTGTTTGATACTGTATCGAATTTCCTCTGAAGGATATGTATTCAAATCTCATTCCAGACACTTGGAACATTATCCAGGCTGACATTCTGGTGCAGTAGTAGAGAGTGCTACACAGTCTGAGCTGTCATCTCTTAAAGGAGGTGTTAAATTGAGATCCATCTGACCTCATTATAATGTACACCTCATCGAAAAATGCAGGGAGTACTCTTGATATGATGGTTAATATTTATATATCCTTGATAGTAGTTGGTGGGCTCACTATGCACAAATTGGCTTCCCCACTTGCTTTATTTCATAATGATATGTTCTAAAATAATTAGTTTTCTGTGAAGCGCTTTTGGACATTATGGGGAGGCAATGGCCTGGTGATTTTATTGCTGAGCCGTTAATCCAGGAAATGTTCTGGGGACCCAAGTTCAAATTCTGCCATTGCAGATGGTGGAATTTGAATTCAATAAAAATCTGAAATTAATTATCTAATGATGACCATGAATCCATTGTCAATTGTTGGAAAAACCCATCTGGTTCACTAATGTTCTTTAGGGAAGGAAACTGCCATCCTTATCTGGTCTGGCCTACATGTGGCTCCAGACCATAGCAATATGGGTAGCTCTTAACTGCCTCTGAGCAATTAGGGATGGGTAATAAATGCTGGCACATCCCATGAATTAATAAAAAAAAATCCTAAGAACCTGAATGGTGCTATATAAAAGATTTTTTCCCCCCTTCTTTAATGTTCCTTCTGTTGAACAACAAAATAATAAATTACACATTTCCCCCTAATGGCTCCTCCACGTTTTTGTTTGAAGACTACTGATGAATGTTCCAAGTATGGTGCCGTGACTATAAAAGCCTGGTACGACAATGAAGGGAAAAGGCTCCATGTGGAAATCCTAAATGCTGTTAACCTCATGCCACTGGATTCCAATGGTAAGAAAGAAAGTGGCGTTACTGGCTGAAGAGATGTTTCTTTTCACATTACACTTTCTGAATCTTCCTTATTTGCATCCCATCTCTCTCCATGCAGGGACCAGTGATCCTTTTGTGGAACTGACTCTGGAGCCTAAGTACACCTTCCCACTGGTAGAGAGCAAAACAACGAGACGCATTGATAATGATCTCAACCCACTCTTCGATGAGGCTTTTGAGTTCAGGTACATACAGTTATTGGTCAGTTATAGCACAGAATGAAGCCTTCAGACAATTGTGTCCATGCCTTCTCTCTGTGACAACTCAGCTTGTCCCATTGTCCTACATTTTCCCTGTTGTCCTGTAAGCCACAGAATCATACAGCCTGAAAACAGGCCCATTGATCCAACTTTTCCATACATACTAGGTTTCCTAAACTGAACTAGTCCCATTTGCCCGTGTTTAGTCCGTATCCCTCTAAGCCTTTCCTATCCATCTATCTGTCCAAATGTTTTTTAAATGTTGTAATTGTACTTGCTTCCTCTGGCAGTTCATTCCATACACACACCACCCTATGCATGAAAACACTGCTCCTCAGGTCCCTTTTAAATCTTTCCCTCGCACCTTAAACCTATGCCCTCTAGTATTGGAACCCTAGTATTCACCTTAGTTATGCCCTTCATGATTTTATAAACCTCTGTAAGGTCACCCCTAAGCCTCCTATGCTCCAAGCAAAAAGAATTCCACTTTATCCAGTCTCTCCTGTTAACTCAAACCTTCCAGTCTCAGTAACATCCATGGAAATCTTTTCTGCACCCTTTCCAGTTAGGAAGTGTTGTAGATGATAGCATTAAATTGCAAAGGGATATAGACAGACTAAGGGAATGGACAAACGGCGATAGATGGAGTTCAGTGTAAGCAAGTGTGAGGTTATCCATTTTGGACTGTAGAAGGATAGATAAGAATATTTTCTAGATGGTGTGAAGTTAATTGCAGTGGATATCCAAAGAGACTTGGGATTCAGGTGCATAGATCTTTAAAATGTCTTGAACAGATACAGAAAGTAAGGAAGAAATCTAATGAAATGCTGGTCTTTATATCTGAAGTAAATGGATGAAATTATATAAAACCTTGGTTAGCCTCACATGGAGTACTGTAAGTACATCTGGGCATCACACTTTAGGAAAGATATATTGACCTTGGAGGAACTACAATGTATGTTAAAAAGAACAATACCTAGACTTCAGGGGTGATGAAGGGAGATTGTACAAATTAGGCCTGTTTTTTCTAGAACGTAGAAAGTTAAGGGTTGATCTGACCAAAGTCTTCAAACTATTAACAGGAAGCCTGATCAGTTGTTAATTTTAAATCTGTAATAAATAATTTCTGTTAAGCAAAGGTATGAAGGAATGTAGGCAAAAGGCAGATCAATGGATTTAAGCCACAGATCAGCCACGGTCTCATTGAATGGTTGAACAGGCTTAAGGGGCTGAATGGCCTACTCATGTTCCTATATTCATTCACTTCTATTTGTGGCATAGATAAGGTGACTAGCCAAGGTCTTTTTCCCAGGGTAGTGGAGTCCAAAAATGGAGGGCATAGGTTTAAGGTGATAGGGGAAAGATTTAAAAGGGATCTGAGGGATAACTCTTTCAAACAGAGAGTGGTGCATATATGGAATGAGCTGCCAAAAGTGGTAGAGAGGAGTACAATTACAACATTTAAAAGACATTTGGGTAGGTACATGGATAGGAAAGATATAGAGGGATATGGGCCAAATGCAGGTAAATTAGACTAATTCAGTTTAGGAAACCAGGTTGGCATGGACGAGTTGGGCTGAAAGCTCTGTTTCTGTGCTGTTTGACTCTATGATGTAATGACTCTAAATAGTAATGTGTGAAAGTCAGAAAGATGAAAAGGGACTACACTCAGAGGATATAGCCACAGTCAGTCAAGGGGTTTGGCCAAATAGACTCTAGGGGTTTGGCCATGGTCAGTGCTGCAGAACGTGTTCAAACAGTCCAGGGATTACAAGTAGATTGTCTGGGTGCTTTAGATACATTAATCTTTTTTTAATCAATCATGGATTAAGTGTGATGAAATGGATGAAAGCTGTTAATGGTAACAGTTGAGCAGGAGAAAGGGTGAGGTGTCCCCAGTGAGTGATTAGGAAGTGAAGGCAAGGAAGGTTTAGTTGTTTGTGAGAAAGAGGTGCTTGAGAGGCATTGAGTAAACATGGTGCATGCAATACCAAGGATTGTAGTCTACCAGCCTTGGCGAGATGTGTGTGCAGTGGCAGAGTTGGAGTCAGTGTGACCCTGTGGGTGTGAAGGAGCTGACAGAAGATGGTGACACTTATCATAGAGAAGTGTAGGAGATCGTTGACCTTCTTATAGCACTGTTGGGAGTCCCTTTTTAAATGCAGGATGCACCACTGGCCTGTGCTGCAATTTCTATCCAGGCTGGCTCAATTTGTTGGCATGGCCTCCTTTGGTCAACCTGAAAAAGGTTTCCCCTCCTCTTCACCACCCCATCCACCAGCCCCTCCAGATCCCTGCCCATGCAGTGGGGAGTCAGCTTGCCTTTCATCTATAATATTTGAAGAGTTGAGAACTGCAGTGTGAGGACCAGTTCCTGGCTCGCAGAATCTGAAGTGACGTCAGCTGGGTTTTAAATATGACACCAGAGAAATGGAAGCTAGAATGTTCTGGCAGTGACAAGCACTTGCACCGCATGATTCCTTGAGAAATGTACCCAGCAGTTTGGTTGCTTAATTAATGAGGTGAAAAGCAGAAGATTGTTTGAAAAAATTTGTCCTGGGCTACAGTGGACCAGGCACCAGGAAACCCACTTGCCGTCACACTTAGCTACAAATGGGAGAATGCATCCCCAACTTCCTTGTTTTTTTTAACTCTTTGCCTCTATATAAAGCCAAGGATTCTTACTAGCCTTAGTAGCTGTTTTCTCAGCCACTTCCAATGATTCAAGAATATAAACATCCAGACCCTGCTGTACTTGCACCCCTTTTTTAGAATTGTACCCTTTATTTCATATTGTCTCCTATTGTTCTTGCTTCCAAAGTGAAACACTTCAGACTTCTCTGCATTATTTTTCGTCTGCCATGTGTCCATCCATTCCACTAATCTTCCTATATTCTCTATCACGGTCATCCTCACAGTTCAAAATACTTCCAACTTCTGTGCCTTTTGCAAATTTTGAAATTGTGCCCTACTCATCCGTGTCTACAGCATTAATGTAATATGTGTAAAGGAAAAACTGATCCCAATACTGGGATTCCCTGGGAACACCACTTCATACTGTCTTCTCTTCCAAAAATTACCGTCCAACAATAATCTGTCTTCTACTAATCAGCCAGAACTGCAGTTGACCCTTTTATTTAACTTTATTGAGGCCTGTCAAGAGGCTACCAAATATATTATGGAAGTCCATGTACACCACATCAACCACGTTGCCCTCAACAGCCCTGGCTTACCCAAATGAATCCACATTTGAAGTAACTGCTGAATGTGTCTCAGGTCATTGTTTTGAAAGGCTTTCCCATCACCAGCATTAAGTTTATTGGCTGTAGTTGCTGGACAAATCCTTTGCATCCTTTTTTGAACAAGAGTATAACATTTACAATATTCCAGTCTTTTGGCACCACCACTGTGTCTAACGGGATTCAAAGATTCCAGTTTAAGTGGGCTATGTCTGTTCTCATTCCCATTGAAATTGGCTCTCACTTAATTAAATAGAATAAATTCTATCACTACTTATTTCTTATCTGTGCCTTTGTTATCTCTAGGCTCTAACTCTTAACCTGCACCTTAGCCAACCTCACCTCCCATAAATTTGAGCTCATCTAAACTCTGCTCTTTATGTCCTAACTTGCAGTAAGTCCTGTTCAACCAAGATCCGCAAGCTCGCTAACCCTCCATTTGCTCTCATTTTGGTTTATAAAATTCTGATGCATGTTTTCAAACATGCCCATGACTTTACCCTTACCTCTGTAATCTTCTCCAACTAAAGTCCTCTGAGATGTGTCCACCTCTGGTGTATGCTGATGAATTTGCTCTAACATAGGCAGCCATGCCTTCAGCTGCCTGGACTATAAACATTGGGATTCTCTCCCTAACCTTTCTGTCCTCCTCAAAGACAGTACTTAAACCTACCAAGTTTTGCTCACCCATTATTTGTTTAATAATACTCTTGGAAGAACTGCAACTATTTTACTACTTTAAAGGTGCCATATAAATTGTTATTGTTTCATACCTATATTCTGCCAGATATGGTTCCATAGTTTCCTTCTTGTCAGTCACCCAGTTCTCATGATGGGCTATTTGGTCACAGTGTATCACAGGGTGGCACAGTGGTTAGCACTGCTGCCTCATAGTGCCAGGGACATGTCTGTGTAGAGTTTTAATACTCTCACTGAGTCTGCTTGGGTTTCCTCCCACAGTCCAAAATTGTGCAGATTAGGTTGATTAGCCATGCTAAATTGCCCATAGTGTCCAGGGATGTACAAGCTAGGTGGATTAGCCACGGGGAATGTAAGGTTAAAGGGATAGGGTGGGGGCAGGTGGGTCTGGGAGGGATGCTGTTCGGAGGGTCGGTGTGGACTCGATGGGCTGAATGGCCTGCTTCCACACTTTTGAGATTGTGAAAAGCCACGCTGATCTGTTCTTTAAATGATGTCCGTTTATACACTTCTCCAAAAGACTGTGTTGACTGATGATTAGGAGCAGCAACACTGGTTGAATGTCTGCTCTCTAATCCAAGGGTGAAAAGGATAACTGTGATGGGCTTAGAGCACAGGACAGGACTAAGCCTGTGGCCATCATGGCATGTATACTTCAACCTACGAAAGTAAAGATTAGGAGAGATTTGAGCCTATTCATTATCAGTCATCCTCCACTGTTGCACAGCTAAAATTAACCATCAGTGGCTTGATTGTGAGTGCTAAGTCAAGCACGCATTTGATTATGGGCTGCACTAAAGGTGCAATATACTGACAGCATTGTCGACAGCTTGAACTGTAAGTCCAGAAGCACAACCTTTGATTGCACACACACATACTCACTCCGGGATGGCTTGATACATAACCAGCTATTCTTTAAGTTCTTGTTCTGAATTAGAACATTTACAGAATCCTAGACGCACAAAATTATTTACAGGCAAAAATGTTAAACTAGTGTGTAAGAAGCCTGAGTAGGGGGTAATTTTTTTTTGTGACTTGTTTTTAGCAATGTTACTTCAGAGCAGTGTCGGCGAGAGGGGGCCTGCCTACTTATCACTGTGTTTGATCATGATACTTTGCTCAGTGATGATCTAGAAGGGGAAGCTTACTTCTCTTTGCAAGACATCCCAGGACTGGACAGCACTGAGGAACCTCTCAACATCATCAAAGTTCCTCAGAGCCGATTGGCACTCAGCCATCCAAAACCAAATGGTAAGACAAAACTGTTATCATCACTTTTTTATATTTGCCAGGCATTTGTTGAGTTATTTTTATCAATATGGATGTCATTGCTAGGCCAGTATTTAATACCCATTCCCAGCTGCCCTGAACAAGAGGATAGTGAGCTGCCTTCTTGAACTGTTGCAGTCGTGTGATGTGGATACAGTTAGGGAGGTATTCTGGGACTTTATCTAGTGAAGGATTGGTGATAATATTTACAGTCAGGATAATGTGAGAGTTCGAGGGAATTTGCAAATGGTAGCATTTTCCTTGCTGCCCTGCTCTATCGAGGCAATCCATCCTTCACTTCTTTCAATATTTTGAGAGAGTTCTGTACACAGTAGGTATGAAGGATATTATCAAGCTGGAGAGGGTTCAGAAGAAATTTACCAGGATGTTGCTGGGTTTTGAAGTTTTGAGTTACAGAGAAAGGCTGGATAGGCTGGGACTTTTTTCACTCGAGTGTAGGAGGCTGAGAGGTGACCTGATAGAAGTTTATTAAATAATGAAACGTATAGATAGAGTTAATGGTAGTTGTCTTTTTCCCTCGGATGGAGGATTTCAAGACTACATTTTTAAGGTGAGAAGAGAGAAATTTAAAAGAGACCTAAGAGGTACAGCATGGAGTTAGATAGATAGGAAAGTTCCCTCTACTCTTTTAAGCTGAAGGTACAGCTTCTCTACTCCATCGTCATCAAATATTCCCAGGACAGGGACAGCTCAGGGTTAGATACAGTGTAATGCTTTCTCCTCTCTTTTAAATTGAAATTAAGTTCTATCTATTCTTTTAATCTGTAAGTAGAGCACCCTTTACATTGCCCCATCAAGCATTCCCAGGACCGGTATAGCACAGAGTTAAATGCACAGTAAAGCTCCCTGTAATCTTTTAAACTGAAAATAAAGCTCTGTCCGCTCATTTAAACTGAGTGTAAAGCATCTTCTACACTGACCTCCTCAAACACTCTCAAGACAGATATAACACTGGGTTAGATACAGAATAAAGGCCCCTGTTTTTTTAAAACGAAAGTAATAATTATTATCTTTTTAAAGCTTTCTCTCCTCTTCCAAACCAAAACCAAAACCAAAACCAAAACTCCCTGGACTCTCCCAAACCAAAAATGACACACTCTACTCCCTTTTAAATTGAAATTGAAGCTCCTCATATACTGTCCCCAGCAAACACACCCAGGATCTCTATACGTTGAAGATGACACATGAACAGTGATGTGTGGCTTCAGGGAACAGGGTCATACAAAGTGCTTTTAGGGAATGTGGAATGAAACTTGGGAGAGAAAAGTATACACACTACCTTTACTAATACTTTTAACTACCTTGTAACTGTGAGACGTCTCTGGCATTTGTTTTCTTGACAGAAGACAACATACTGAAGTTATTAGAGGCACGAAAAGGAGATAGAGATGCTCAGGCATTTGTCAAAATACGAAGACAACGGGAAAGGAAGTCAAAGGAAAGATAAAAATTGCTGCAACCTCAAGTCCTAACACTGGAAGGAATCCGAAGCACTGGACTTTCAGGCACCTCATCTCCTTCATTCTGTAACATTGATGCACAAATGCTTGAGACTGACTAATACCCCACAGCCAGCATTAGGCTTTAATGAAAAATTGTGAGCGGCATGAGTGGTTTAGCATTATGTGTGTATGAAGGTCTGGGATCAAGTCAACCCATTTCCCCACCTGTCTTGCTGTGTTAGTGAAGACAAGTCCTGCCGTGAGATTCTCACTGGCTATTTTTGGGGCCTCATGCTATTGGTTTCTTCCCTGAAAGCTCCTTGAATTTTTTTTGTCTTGTGCTGTTCCTTTCGATTTCTCAGACTCCTGGAGTGAAAATTGGGATTGTCTGCACTTGTTTTTGTGTTGTGATCTCTGAAATGGCATCTGAAGTGTGCATGCACAGATCCTTGTACTGGACTCCATACTGGTGAGGGCATTCATGTGCAGAGTGAAAGCCAGCTGGACATACGCAGAGCAGACTGATTCGATATTAGTGGTGCCGTTTTGGAGCTCAATAGACTACCAGTGTCTTCAGCCAAACATGCACTTGTGTTTAGTTTGTGTTTTTGTCATTTTATTTAATGCAAGATTTGTGTTTGCCTCCAGGTTTTCAGACTTTATATAGGCTTGGTCTTGAGTGAAATCTATGCCCTCCTTCAGCACATGGCTTCAGGCTGAATTTCAGTGATGCTTAGGGAGTGCTGCAATACTGGCAGTGTTATACTTCATACAAAATGTGAAAATTCCCAAAGCACTTGCTGACCACGAGTTCTCCCTGGTTTCCTGGCTAATATTTATCCCTTGACCAACTCCTGAAAACAGATTATCTGCTTATTTTGTTGTAATGTGGGATCTTGCGTGCGAATTAACTGTTACCTGTCCAACTTTGCAGCAGTGAGTACGTTTCAAAAGTATTTCAGTGACTGTAAATCACTTTCAGACGTTCTGGATCATGAAAGCTGTTACATAAATGCAAATCTGTCTGTACCTCATTACTATTTGTTGGACCCTTCTGTGTGCAAAATTGTATGAGACAATTCTGAAAGGGGCAGGAAGGTTTTCAAAGTGTACCATATTGTAGGAGTTCTCTTTATGCATTAGGGTTGACTTTATGAATATGTGCTCTGAGTAATCCATGCTCATCTGGAAAACAAGATATTGTGGAGAATATGTTGTGATTTCTACACAGATACTGCTAGTGCTGAGGCTCCCTGTTGGGACTCTAGGTTCTCAAAATGGCCCTCTAAAGCCATCTGACCTACAGACTTGGACAGTCCTTGTCTAAGGCATTAGGGATGGATTAATATCACTGACAAAAATACTTTATTTCTCAAATAAGACACATACCTCAGTTAAAATTCCTCTTGTGCCAACTACAAACATTGAGTAAATTGGAATTTTTAGCAATTAAATCTTTGCATCTTCTTTATCTCTGTGCTTTCTGGCGTATTTGTTGAGTTACACTTGACAGTTGCTGAAATAATGATATCCACCCAACAGCTCTCCGGGAAGTTGAACATATTCTATTCCAGCTCTTTGCCTTTCCTTTACCACTGCCCACAGGGCTGGTTCCCAAGCACGGAAAGGGGACTAATATCTTAAAGGTGACAATCTGAACCTGAGTAACTATAGGTCTATTAATTTGACATCAGTTATCAGAAAAATACTTCAGAAACATTAGAGCTGCAATAAGTGGTTGCCTAGCTGGAGACATCAAATATGCATTGTAAGAAAAAGTCAAGACTTACAAATTGATTGCAAATTGATCTGGATTGGGAACTGGCTGGGAGGGCATAGTGGTGATGGATGGATTCAGATCATGATGGATCATCAGTGGTGTCACTGAGGGATCAGTATTTGGGCTGTTGGTTTAATAATGATGTAGAGGTATGTGTTGGTGGCAGAATCTGCAAATTTACAGATGATGCAAAGATCTGTGTGAGTGTTAACATTGCGTACAGAGCTGAAGTGCTACAAGCTGAGTTTAACATGTTTATGTTTTGGGGATTGATCTCTGACTGGTAAATGATGATGTTTAATTTGCAAGTGTGCATTTTGTGTGGCCAGGGCAAATGCTGAAGTTAGTGGCTGTTCTCATTCATGTAGAGTAGTGGGTGCATTCACTGTTCTTAATTGGAGTCATAGAGTCATACAGCATGGAAATGGGCCACATTTGGAGTACTGCATACAGTTCTGGTTGCCTTGCTATAGGAAGGATGTTATTAAACTTGGAAAGGGTACAAAAAATTTACAAGAATGTTACTGAAACTGGAAGGTTTGAATTATAAGGACAGGCTGAATAGGCTAGGACTTTTTTTCCCTGGAGCGTAGGAGGCTGAGGGGTGACTTTTTAAAGAGATTTACAAAATCATGAGGGGCATTGATAAGGTGAACAGCCAAGGTCTTTTCCCCACGGTAGGATAGTCCAAAACTAAAAGGCATAAGTTTAAGGTGAGAGGGGCAAGATTTAAAAGGGACCTGAGGGGGAACCTTTTCACACACCGGGTGGTGCATATATGTGGAATGAGCTGTCATAGGAAGTGGTAAGGGAGGGTATGGTTACAACATTTAAAACACAACTGGACAGGTGCATGGATAGGAAAGGTTTAGAGGGATGTGGGCTTAATGCCGGCAAATGGGACTATTCCATATCAGAAATCTGGTCGGCGTGGATGCGTTCCTCACATGCTTAAGCTTTCAAAGCCCTGTTTGCATCCTTAATGCTTCTGTCAAGCATTTTTCCGATGACTGATGTCAAACTAATAGATCTATAATTACCTAGATCCAAATTGTCATCTTTTTTAAAGATGAGGATGAAATTAGCCTCCTTCCAATGCAGAGAAAGCCTTCTAGACTAATTCCTGATTATCATGTGGTAGGGTTTAAGTGGATCTACCTTTCTGTCATTGATCTGTATGCCATGTTAAATGAATATTTGCAAGATGCTGCATGATGGGAACCAAATGACAGAGGAATTAGGCTAACTGGTTTATTCATTCACCATCAGATGTAGTTGGACTTCTATCCTGCTCTCATCTGCTAAAATTGTTCACTGTTCTGGGATAATCTGGAACTCAAAGATGACTCCTGGCTTTTTATCTCCACCACAAACCATCTTTTGAAATCCGTCTTTCTGCCTTCTCGCCACCCTCTTCTCCAAAAATTAAAGTGAGGAGCTTATGGAGCTTTGTCATCAAGACTGAAGCCATCCAATCGATGCAGCTCTGCCTCTTCCATGAACCCATCTGAGCAAGCTCCTTGTAAAGCACCCCTCACTGGCCAGAACATGTATCTTTGATGCTTTCTGTCTCATTCTCTTCTTTGTACACTGACCTTTTCCGTGAGACCCACCTCCTGGTCCCTTGACCCTATATCTATTCAACTGCTAAGCACCCACCTTCCCCTCCTAGTTCCCATGTTCGCCAGTATTATAAATGCTTGTCTGTCTTCAGGGAAGCCCCTCCTCCGCTATATCTGCAAACTCTGAAGCACCATAAAATATGGGAGCATTGGCCCAAGGAGTCTGCTCCACCAATTAAACATGGCTGATATTTCTCAATCCAATTCTCCTGCCTTTTCTCTATTACCCTTGATCCCCTCACTCATCAAGAACCTATCCATCTCTGTCTTAAATACACTAAATTACTTGACCTCCACAGCCTTCTGTGGCAATGAGTTCCAAGGATTCACCACTCTCTGGCTGAAGAAATTCCTCCTCATCTCAGTTCTAAAGGATTGTCCCTTCACCCTGAGGCTGTGCCCTTGAGTCTTTGTCTCCCCTAATAGTGGAAACATTTTCTCTATGATCACCCTATCCAGGCCACTCAGTTTTCTGTAAGTTTCAATGAGATCCCTGCCTCATCCTTCTAAACTCCATCGAGTACAAACGCAGATTTCTCAATCGCTCCTCAAATGACAAGCCCTTTATCTCCAGGATCATTCTTGTAAACCATTTCTGGACCACCTCCAAGGCCAGCACATCCTTCCCTAGACACAGGGCCCGAAACTGTTCACAATATTCCAAATACGGTCTGACCACAGCCCAATACAGCCTCAGCAGCATATCTCTGCTGTTGCATTCTAGCCCTCTCGAAATGAAAGCTAACATTGTATTTGCCTTCCTAACTGCCAACTGAACTCGAGAAACTTGAACTCAAATCCTAAGTCTCTTTGTGCTTCAGATTTCTGAAGCCTTTCCCCATTTAGAAAATAGTCTATGCTTCTATCCTTCCTAGCAAAGTACATAACCTCACACTTTCTCACATTGTAGTCCATCTGTCACTTCTTTGCCCACTCTCCTAACCTGTCCATGTCCTCTGCATCCTCCCTGCTTTCTCAACACTACCTGTCCCTCCACATATCTTTGTATCATCTGCAAACTTGGCAACAATGCCCCTCAGTTCCTTTGTCCAGATCATTAATGTATAGCATAAATAGTTGTGATCCCAACACTGCCCCTGTGGGACTCCACTAGTCACCGGCTGCCATCCTGAAAAAGACCTCTTTATCCCCAATCTCTGCCTTCTGCCAGTCAGCCATTCCTCTATCCATGCCAGTACCTTGCCCCGAACACTTGTCTTATTTAGCAGCCTCTTGTGCAGCACCTTGTCAAAGGCATTCTGGAAATCCAAAAACATTGTGTCCACTGGATGTCCTTTGTCTAACTTGTTTGTTACCTCTTCAAAGAATTCTTAACAGATTTGTCAGGCATGATTTCCTTTTGACAAAGCTGTGCTGATTCAGCCTCGTCCTACCGTGCACTTCCTGGTATTCCACAATTTAATCCATTAAAAATGGACTCTCAAATCTTACCAACAACTCAGGTCAGGCTAATCAGCCTATAATGTCCTGCCTTCTGCTTTTTAAACAGGGGTATTACACAAGCTGTTTTCAGCCTGACTCCAGTGATTCCTGAAAGATGCTACCAATGCTTCCATGATCTCCTCAGCCATCTCCTTCACTCTGGAGTGTAGTCTGTTGTGTCCCAGTGATTCTTCCACCTTAAGGTGCTGAGGAAGCTGAAAAGTCTTCTCAGTGATGTCTACTGTGCTAACCTCTGCCCCCTGACTCCCTTGAAGTTCTGTTACGCTACAGGTATCTTCCACCGTGAAGACTGATGAAAAGTACCTATTCAGTTCTTCACCCACTTCTTTGTTCCCCATTACCACTTCTCCAGCCTCATTTTCCAGTGACCAGTGTCCACTCTCGCCTTGCTCTTACATTTTATATATCTTAAATTCTTGCAATCTTCTTTTATTTACTACGTAGCTTTCACATATTTTATGTTCTCCCCCTTATTACATTTTTAATTGTCCTCTGCTGGTTTTTAAAGGCTTCCCAATCCTTTGGCTTCCCACTAATCTTTATCATATTGTATATTTTTTCTTTTGCTGACTTGCCTTGTCAGCTATAGTCACCTTGTCGTCCCCTTGGCTTATTTCTTTATCCTTGGGATGAATTTCTGCTGTGCCTCCCGAATTACAGTCTTCCCTGCTAGGCTCCCCTTCCAACTAACTTTGGCCAGCTCCTCCCTTATCTCCTTTACTCAATTGTAACACCACTACATCTGGTTCAAGTTTCTCCCTCTCAAACTGCTGGGGGAATTCTATCATATCATGGTCACTGCCCCTAGGGATTCCTCACCTTTAGCTCCCTAATCAAGTCTGCCTCATTACACATCACCTAGTCCAGAATACGCAGTGTGGAGCTGGAGGAACACAGCAGGCCAGGCAGGATCAGAGGACCCGAAACGTCAGCTTTCCTGTTCCCCTGATGCTGCCTGGCCTGCAGTGTTCCACCAGCTCCACACTGTGTTATCTCTGACTCCAGCATTGGCAGGTCTTACCATCTCTCACCAAATCCAGAATTGTCTAATTTCTAGTGGGCTCTACCACAAGCTATGCCAAAAAAATCATCTTGCAGGAATTCCACAAATTCCTTAAGATCCACTACCAACCTGAATTTCCCAGTCCACCTAAATATTGAAATCCCCCATGATCGTTGCAATAATGCCTTTCTTACAAGCCTTTACTATCTACTGATTTATCTTTATTTGTCTACTGCTAGGCTCTTTTGTCTTTTGCAGTTCCTCAACTCTACCCTCACAGATTCCATGCCTTCTGCCTCTATATTACCTCTTTCTATCAATCTAATTTCATTTCTTACTAAAAAAAAAAACATCCGCGCCCACTCTGCCCATGTGCCTGTCCTTTCAATAGGACCCATAACTTAGCTGTTCCAGGACAGTCACAACATTGGCATCTACCCGACAAAGTGGAAAATTGCCCAGGTAAAAGCATGACAAAGTCTATTCAGCCAATTTCCACCCATCAGTCTACTCTCGATCATCCGTAAAGTGATGGAAGGAGTCATGCACCATGTCACTCAGCTCCTGACTTCATTACAGCCTTGGTTCTAACCTGGACAAAAAAGAGCTCAATTCCAGGGATGAGATGAGGTGAGAGTGAAAACCCTTGATATCAAGGCTGCATTTGACCAAGGATGGCATCAAGGGCCCTAGCAAAACTTGAATCAATGGGAATCAGAGGGCGAACTCATCAGTGGTTGAAGTCATATCTGGCACATAGGAAGGTGGTTGTGGTTTTTTCTTATTATTCATTCTGAGACTGTGGGCATTGCTGGCTGGCCAGCATTTACTGAGAAGGTGATGGTGAGCTGCCTTCTTGAATTCCTCAGGGTAGTGTCCTAGCCCAACAATCCTCAGCTGGTAGACAAACAGGAGACTGGAAGAACAGAGCAAACCAGGCAGCATCGGGAGGAAAGGAGAAGTCAACGTTTCAGGTATTACCCGAAATGTTGACTACCTTGGATTCCAGCATCTGCAGTTTTTTGTCTCTAATCTTCAGCTGCTTCATCAATATCCTTCCCTCCATCATAAGGTTAGAAGTGGGAATGTTTACTGATGATTGCACTATGTTCAGTACCATTTATGACTCAGAGTCATAGAGATATACAGCACAGAAACAAACCTCCGTGGTCCAACTCGTCCATACCAACGAGGTATCCTGTATAAATCTAATCCCATTTGCCAGCATTTGGCCCATTTGCCTCTTAAACCCTTCCTATTCCTATACCCATCCAGATGCCTTTTAAATGTTGTAATTGTACCAGCCTCCACCACTTCCTCTGGCAGCTCATTCCATACATGCACCACCCTCTGTATGAAAAAGTTGCCTCTTAGGTCCCTTTTATATCTTTGCCCTCTCACCCCA